CCCGGTGCACGCGGCCCTTCCGAACGCCCAGCTTGGTGATGTTCTTCTTACCCTTCTCGATCGCCTGCAACGGGTGCAATAAATTCATTTAACGAGATAAACACATCAGATACGAACAGAAAGACAATATTCAAATCCTTCTGGAATCCTTAAAATCATCTGAAGTGAATAACAAATAAAAACCAGTTGATGAAATGAGCAGAAAACTGAGAACGCTCACAATGTGGCCATCAGACCATACCACCATGCTCTCAGACCTGTACACACCGTATCAGAGTACGTTCAGTGCTCACATTGGAGAGGTCGATGAGCGCTGCGCGCGGTTTGCCCAGCTTCTGTTTGGTAGCCAGCGTCTGTTTGCCGACAGGCTGGGCCGGCTCGTTTTCGGCGTCGATCCTCGGCGCCGGGAGGTCGGCCGGTGCCGAGCGCAGAGAGCGGCGGGTCGTCATCGTGCAGACTCCTCCTGTGGAGCGGGCGGACACAACGCGTCAACACACGGAAATCCAATAGGTGTCATGATTATGACAAGTTGAATGGCAAGTCCAGGCTAGGGCCACAGGTGGGACACGGAATGGTCTTATACATTTCACAATTGAAATTTTATGTTGGCAGCATATTTTATCAACTTGAAGTTGCTTTGGCAAAATTTTACTGGTTATTTCATACAACGCCGTAGGTGGACTGCGTGGAATAGTGAGCAAAGATTGGGCATTCTTCCACCAGATTGGTTTTCATGTTCGTGTGACGGAGTAACGATGATAAGCGGCATTCGAAAATTCGTTAAAAAAATCAAGAAAGTAGTAAGAACTATATTTACATCTTAGAATTTAGATCAATCAAAATATGTAGTGAAAATGACATATTTCATGAGTAGTAAATGGTCATTTTCGACAGGTTCTGACATTTTCGCAATGGCAATAATTCCTTGTGAACGCTGGGCCTACATCACGAAAGAACCATTAAATAGCCCGGCGCCCGCTGCAACTGGCGAGAAAGGGCCACGTAAGAGCCGGAATAAGTGTCGCCATCTATATGCGGTACATGAACCTTTCGGTTTAAATAAACACCAATGCACCGACCCCAGGCAAAGTAAGGTGGCGGCCGGTGGAGCTATCTGTAATCTGGGCCGGTGCATGACATCATTCCCGACAACCCCCGATGAAAGTGGCATCACGGATGAGTGACAGCCCACTCAATCGAACTTTATCTCTTTAACAGAGGTCAGTTAAAAAAAAACCTGCCAGGATTTGTAGCCTTCGGTCACCCCGCAAGTCGGCAACCGCGAAAAACTTTGATGTGAAAAATAAATCAGCTACCCTAACTGGTATTTTCACAATATCAATCATGACTTGTTGGGATGGTTGATTTAACTCGTCGGAGACTCAGAAAATACACAATGGCAGCGGCAGACGGCGATTTATATGTCACGAATTTCACTGGCCTCTCGTTAAAAAAAAACTTTGTAATCTACGAATTGAAACGAATGTATATGGGTAATTTTCACATAGTTACAATTACACTCATTTGGATGCAACAATTTATATACGAGCTGAAACTTGAAAGGCAACCGCAAGTCAGTCAGCCAGGACAAAGGTCATGCTTCAAAATTTATTCATATTCTACGGTTAAAGAAATTTTCATTTATGAAATCTGCAGCATGCCTATAGAAAGTTCATAGCTTTCTTTGAGAAATGTGGGGAAGTCACTTCACCAGACTGATGACCTAAACTTACATGGCATGACACAAAAATTACACATGTACCTACATGCAAAGTGTTGGCCAACAACTTTTGCCAACAAGTTGGGGATAATAGGACAGGTACAAGAATACCACAAATTATTCTAAGGTCATCAACAATTCCAACATCCAAATGATTAATTCAAAACCATTCCCTTTTCACCAGTGCATTCCTAGTGTAATTTCAAAAGATATTAACAAGTTTTGGCATCAAATAAGGTGGTCATGGTATATAGGGCCTAGGTGGTCATGTGCATGAGTTGATCAGGGCAGCTCCAACTAAGGATTTTCTGCCCCAGAGACTTGGTGTGACCATTCAACTGTTTTAGGTGCGCTTATAGTATTACAGCACTCATGTAACAGAATAATGAACAGCTGAGGCATATACTAGCCATGGATGTACAAGGTTGGCACTCAGTCTATTGTCATTCTTTGAAACACCTAACCTGAACCTGTACTCAAGCTGTTGATCAGTGATCAAACTGTAAACTTAATATTGAATTAATGTTACGGTAACTAAGTTATTGTAAAAAGGTTTTATTGCTCTAGTTATCACATTTTTAGATGTGATATAATTTCCCAAGGCAAGCATTTCCTTTTTAATGACAGCACACAAGAAAAATTAGGTACCATAAAAGGCACGTAAAACACAAGTTCGAAAGAATGCCTGAGCACTGACTGCTGACACAAACTGTATCCTAGGCCAGGTATGAGAACCAGAAGTTCAGAACATAGGTAGGTAGCTTTCAAACTCAAGACAAAAGATGTGATGTGCCCACTGAAACAGGAAAACCCTATACCAGCTGAAATTAATTTTAAAAAATACAGACAATTTATAAGCATTTATTCCTAGTCTTTCAATCATGATCAAGCAAGTAAATATTTCAAAACTCACTGAAATGATGATATAGCTGCAACAACAGTACGCAACCAAAATTTGAATGCAATTGCTATTAGTTGTTTCAATTTCATAGGTCACAATGATAAAAGCACAGGATAAAAGGAATCACAATCAGTACATGATGCCAACAAAACAAGGATCATATTCACAGTTTGAAACGACTTATTTAATCACTTTAAAACAGACAAGTAATAATTTATATATACTTTGAAATGAATGTGTCGGTAGTATGAGATGAGAGAAATGAGACTGAAACGACGCAACAGGAATTGCTGGAATCCTATACATAATAAGCACTTAAAATGTCAACTTACCGTTTCGTACGAATCCCGCTCTTCTAGCTGTCCAATAAAACCTATATTTCTATAAAATAATAAGTAGTGGCGTCAAAAAGGAGAGAAACAGCACCACGCACGCGACTCAGACACCGATCGAAAATTCAAAAACAGCCCAAGACACGGCAGCGCTGTGATTGGCCCAGTCGGATCACGTTCAACCATCTGGACCAATCAGAGACGAGAACGGTGGCAACAGCAACAATCAGCTGTCCCATTGATTTCAGAGGCTTGCAGCTACTAAAATGTATACAATCGCAAGCATGCATATGCTTTGCCCATTTCTGTCCGACATACAACATATACTTGGAGTTTCATCTTTTCATTTTCTGACTGATGTATTTTTTCTATTTATTAAGTGAGCTGTGTTTGATATAAACAATGACAAGAATCGATTTTAAGACCCTACAATATTCAGGATTGGTTGTTTTTACATGAAGCAGATCGAGAAGAATTTAAACAATTGTCTAGCTTTAGAATTATATGTAACTCAATCCGTTCGCTCAGTGTTCGCGTTCTCTAGGTGCCCTTTGATGGACGAGCTCGGCAGGACGCCCGGGACGCCGATGCCACAAGTGTGGTGTGGACCTGCGGTTTTCCTGCCCTCGAGGCTCTCGGCAACGGGCGAGGGACGGGGCTGGACAGCTGGGGGAGGGGAGGGGAGAGGACGCGCGTGCTTCCCACGTACCGAGGCGTGACGCCGGGGGCGACGCAGGTGAGGAACGCGACGCTGAGGGGGAGGGGCATTGAGGGATGGGTGTAAAGGTCGGTAGGAAGAGGGAACCAGCGGGAAGTAACTGGTGATGTAACGTTGTAGTATAGCTCGTGGTCTGAGCCACAGTTATCAGTTGAGTAAATACAGGCCTTGAGTTGAGTAAAGCCATTTGAGCACCCCTGCTGATGACCACACCAAACGCTATCTGACAAATGCCGCATGAGACAACTTGGCAGGGCAGCAGTGGTCGAATTTTACGTGCAGAAAGCGAATATTAAATGCAAAACGGTTTTTACACATTCGATCTCACCGTATACTGACGGTCCCAGGAATCGCCTCGTTTTCTCGGATTCCTACCCTTCTACTTTTCGGCCTCATCGTGACTTTGAGTTTGAATTGAGGTCATGTTTTAGGCTAAGATCACTTACAGTCAAGTGATAGATGATTTGACGCATCTCGAATCTCGATAAGCACGTCGATGTCAAATGTAACTACGTACCTATTCATCGCATTAGAAGTTAGGTATAGCAAAAACGTTTATTTGGACGGCGAAACGGCGAGAACACCCAAGGAACACGGCATGGACTACCTGATGCTTTTCACGATATTATTGCTCTATAGAGTCTACCATAGTCCATAGTGTAATAAATAACTATGTTGTAACTATGTTATTTATGATAACTAACTATGTTATTATAAATAGCATAGTTAGTTATATAAATAACTATGTTATTTATTACACTATGAGTCTACTGTACTAGAGCACTAGAGTGACGAGTAATGAATTTTAAAATATATACCAAAAAAAAAATAACTTTATCGATGACCTCTGGTGAAGTCTCAGACGTACTCGGGCGAAATACTTATTAATTAAACGTAGAGTTTAAAGCTAAGGTACTCGCCAAGCTTTTGAGCACCGCTAACGCTTTGTCGCCATTGATCAAGATAGAGCCGTGTAAGAACGCGGGCGGTAATCGTCCCCTGATTTTATCGATTTGCTTTTATCGGACCGCTGCACGCTGCAGCCTGCATGCGTGTTTTACGGAAAGGTCCTTTTTTAATTTGTACGTTAGTTACGAATTTTTAACAGCCAATGTAATAATTATGGTAGGTAACTATGTGCAGCCAATTTTAGCGCATTCAGCCTTCGAGTCTCGAGAGGGAAAATCAGCCATGGGTAGGGGTCAGCAATATCGGTTACGACAAATTTATAATGTAGATGACTCGATCACACTGCATAGCATATATTCACACATCAGCGCGAAGCCTCAAGAAGAGCACGACAGGACGGCCACCCGTCGACACTCTCACTCATTCGGCGATGGCGTCCGTCTCCTCCTCCTGTTCCTCTCGCAGCGTGCTGAGCACCCTGAACAGCTGCGTCTGTACCACCTCCTCCAGCTTCTCGACGTGGTCGGGCTCGGCGGCCGGCAGGTTCTCCAGCTGGTAGACGGCCACACTGCCGGCCGAGTCTCCGATCATCAGACACTCGCCGTCGGGGCCGAACGTCAGCGTCGTGTTGGTGGCGCCGCGGGTGACGTTCGGGTGGACGATAAGCGGGTCCAGGGTGCTGACGGCTAGGTCCCACACCTCCACCTCGTGGTCGGTGCAGAGCGCCAGCTGGGTGGCGCACAGTGGGCTCCACTGGATGTCGTTGATGGCCGAGCGACTGGCACTCTGCACCACGATCACGGCCACCTTCTGGTCGGCGTGCCAGACGCGGAAGCTCCAGTCGGCCGAGCAGGTGACGAGTACGTCGGCGCTGAACGGCGACCAGTGAGCGCGGTACACAGCCGCCAGGTGGCCGCTGTACGTGAACAGGTACTGGTCCGAGTGAGACGTGCTGCACAGGTGCGCCGTGCCCGACTCCGTGGCCACCAGGTACTGAGCCGTGTTGCCCGGACGGAAGCTGAAGTGGAGGCCTACTGCCGAGCGCGAGATGAACGCATCGGACTTGCGCGAGCGGTTCTCCTTTTTGGTGCTGAAGCTGGGGTCGCGGCGCATGGACATGACGGGTACCGTCTGAAGGCCCTGGCGGGTGTTCCACTGCAGAACGCGCCCGTCCTCCGAAATGGACATCAGCACCTCCCGCTTCGCCTCACCTACCCCTTGATCCTTCAGCACGAACTGCACGTCCCAGATGACACCCATAGGCTTGTCGACTCCCCGGAAGCAGTCGTTCACAGGACGGTCCGACTTCTGACTGGTGCTGTACAGCGCCAGCGATCCGTCGTAGCAGCCCACAGCGAGCATGGCAGCGTTCTGCGTGGCGAAGTCGCAGCAGGTGGCGCCGCTGGGCGTGCGGTAGATCAGCGCCGGGTGATCGGGGTTCTTTGGCGACCAGCAGCAGACCAGGCCTGGGTGCGCGCCGAACTGGAGCGTGCCGTAGGTGACTGCCAGCAGGTCGGGGTTGGCCGGGTTCCAGCGGACGCAGGTGACGCGCTGGCCGCTCGTCTCCGGACAGCGGTAGTTCCAGAGGTGTAACATGTGCGGCGCCACCATCACCACCGACTGCGAGTGCTCGGCGACCGGCTCGTCGGGCTCGGTCCGGCCCGGCAGCATGCGGCGGAACTGCGCCAGCCGCTGCTGGTACGTGTTCATGCACAGCGCCTTCTCCATGATGAACGTCTTCTCCTGGATGTCCGACAGCGTGTCCAGCGGCACCTGCTGGGACGAGTCTTCCTCGTCATCGCCTGCCGCCTCGCCCTGTTTTGGAGACTGAACAGCTGGACCGGCGAAGGCGCTTCCTCCCGGCCGCAGCAGCGCGCCGCCGACATCCTCTCCGAGGGGATCGTCTTCCTCTTCGTCCTCTTCTTTAGGCTCCAGCTTCTTGTACTCGTCGAACATGTCCCATACGGCTGCAAAGTCGCACTCATCCGCCTTGTTAGCTTGCGATGCTTGAGTGCCCTTTATCTTCAGAGGCTCGTTGATTGTTTGCATTGCACGTTCGGTGTAACGGCTGTTACCAGCTCGAGACTTGCATAGCTTTTCATAGGCGGCATTCTTGGCCTCGATCTCTGGAACTTGCTGGTCATCTTCTGGTACACAGGTACTTGGAAGCTCAAACAAGTTGATGGTGTCCGTTTCGGTGCAATGACAGATGACGGGTCTCTCCAAATCATAGCCGATTTCATCTTCTAAGTTATCAAAAATTGAGTGATAAGCACTGTGCGTTGGTGCTACGCCACTCGCTAACTCCGACTCCTTTTCTTCCACGATGTAAGTTTGAGAGAACCCCGATAGCATCGTCGAGCGTTTCAAGCCCGTGCCAAGTGTCCCTCCGCGTTTGTCGGTGACAGTGCGGGTGTACGTGGAGTTCATCGGACTCCATTCTGACGCCCCGTCCTCACTGCCTTCACCAAAGCCAAACAAGACACTGTGAGTCAGCTTCGGACCACTGTCTTGGTCTTGGAGTGACAGAGGAGTGACATCTTCTCCGAGTTCACTTATGATTCGTAAACCTCGAGTGGTCGGTCCTGGCTGTGTTGTGGTCAGGACGCTTCTGGCCACCCTACCAGATGATTTGGCAAATTTCGACGATCGATGACTAGCCACGGAGTAGTTGCTCCGAGCGAATATGCTTCGAGCACTAGGTATCGCTTTCTTATGCTGCTTCGAACTTGCCTGTGAGCCTCCATGCTTCGATGCAGCAACGGATGATCTTGGAGTAGACATTGCCTCGGGGAAAAGGTTAAAATTGCTGTTCAATTTAAATCATAAGCAAACAATGCTGGTAGTGATACGAACAGCTGAATAAAAGTCACATTTTATTAGCTCCACTTGATGAAGAAGTAATGCCACTGCACACGGTTCTTCATTTCACGTGCTTCCTATCCGTCCTATAGGTAAGAACGGATTGATGGAGAATGGTCCATCCAGGGCACTAAAGAGTCCATCCTAACTCTTGATCATGCGATCCAAAGTGTCTTGCATGACGCAACAAATAGGTAAGTACTTTATATGGTAGATCTTACGTCTGATGGCCTCGATCACTCCGATATCAACGCACTAGACACAAAATATCACAAAATATTGGTCACAATTCTAGCGCACACAGGCATTTGCTACACTACCTAGAATGCAGCCGTATCACTGGCGAACAGCCCAACGTTGCTATGGCAACCCGACTGGCAAATCAATGGCACTTCCCCAGTATGTGTCTTTTACATCAAAACTGAGCAATCCGGATCTATTGATTAAACGGACGGCTGTCGGCAAGTAGAATGAAGCGGACAATTTGGCAATGCTACTCGAAGTGGAGATATGTAAGCCTTTACTTATATATTAGTACGGCTTTTATCGTAGGGACACTATGCGTCATACTTGCTATGTTGAATAGGCTGGTCCAAGGTACATGCATAAAACTACTGGCTGGTCGGTAGGTTTGTTTTTTAGGACTGTATTTACTGTATTTGTACTGTATTACTGTATTTTAACTGTATTTGTTTAACTTAAATTTTTTCATCGTCTGCAATGAATCATCGTCTATTTGCAGGTACATTACATACATGTAACGGAGCTAGGTTATAGGTAGACGCATGCGTATGCAATGCATATTAAATGCGCGCATAAAGTCATGCATCTCCTGCTCCAACGGTTAAAACACAGCTCCTCTGTCAATCGTTTTACCAATGAGCCTTCGAACAATGGTAGGTATACATAGGCGGAACGGTTATCAATATATTCGAACGTTTTAATCATTCGACGAAATATCTATGTACCTATAATAGCGTTTAAACGTCTTTGAGCCTGTACTTAAAAAATGTTCTTCGTTATTTTTTGTAATTATGACAACGTATATACCTATTACCTACTATACAGGTGATATACCCCATGAATGAACTCTGTGAACCACCGGGTATTTTGCGAGCGGCACCGTGACAGGAAGCGATTCCGCGACGCTTACGTCACGGGAAGAGGCCTACCACGTCACTGGGAACAGCTGGCTACCTATCAGCGGTGTCGTAACATCACAGTTGCGCAGCCTGCAAGTTAACGTCAGCAAGTTTTTGTTCACTTTTATACGGCTATTCGATCTATACTGTATCGATTTCTTAGCTTTCGGTGGACTTATCTCAACCGATGTCACAACAACTTTATTGACGTGTTTTCCTCACCTTTAAGCACAACCAGTTTCTTTGGAAACTGGCAGGCCGAGTCAAATTCATAACCGTCAGCAGGGTTATGCTGAACACGCCTGTGAGGACCCTGACGAGTTGTGAAGACGGCGAATTGTGACGTTAGCTCGACTGACCCACCTGCGCTCGCACAGTAGGTACTGAATAATATACACTGGGGAGTTGTGATAGACAGGATCGCGCTATGCGGCCTCGAGCAAAAACTGGTCTTCCAGGTTGACGTCTCCGCTGGCGGGTATGTAGTGTAGGTAGTCGATTTGTATGTTCTTTTCTTATAGGTGCTGTTGCACTTACGTTTTATCCGTTTTAACAGAACGTCTCGTGGATCTGAGAGCTCTGCGTTATGCGTAGGCACGTCTGGGCTACGTGTATGCACACAGCACATATAAAAGAGCATTTAAATTTGACTTAACACATTTTGCTCATTTTTATCAGCATCGACCTTCAAACGATAAGTGAAGGAACGTAGTTGATTCTGTAAATTCCGCGTTACTTTATAAGTGAACCGTCTTCAAACGAGGTTGAGGTCGATTGATTGTGGAAAAATAATATTTCAAAATGACTGAGAATTCGCAACAATTAACGTCACTATGATGACCCAATGTGCATGCTGAGTTATGACGATACCGCGCCCTCAGCACTGTCCTCCCAACAGTCACATTTTGCACTTGTTGCGGCAAACTCTGTGCATAAAGTTTACCAGAGATCACGACGCAGCCGGTTGAATAACGGTTCGATAACTCAGGAAACGTGACACCATATCGTGCCATCTTCGTGGCTCGTTCAGTGAGGCACCTGTGCCCCGGGGTCGGCGTGTGGCGCTGCCCTTCCTAGCGCCGAGTGACCCTGACCCAGTCGCCTTACAATGGATCCCGGGCGTCTGCGCAGCTCGCCGCTCGCGTGGGTGGGCGCTTTGGCTGCCGAACGGGCAAAATTTGTGACTGCCGACGGAAAAATGTAATGATCATTGCCGATGACGGTTCAGAGGTGGTGGATATATTGTACGTACGTCAAAATTGGGTTGCTATTTAATACGGCACATTCGTGCATTGATTTGCTCCTGTTCTACCATTTAATTGTAGGTACCTACTTTTTGAGTCGTATGGCTAGGCCGCAGCTTCGGATAGGTATTTATTTAATCTAGTTTCTACGCAAACAACACACATCAGCTGAAACATTTTGTTACAGGTGAAAGGATGCATTTATGAACGTGTATGTTTATGCATGTATACATACACAATACACATATTATCCCATATACATCATGCGACATGCATACATGCCTACATAGTTAGTTACATCATTCAGTAGGTGCAGTGATTAACCCGGCAGTTGCTGGGGTATTTCGCCACCCACCGTTTGCTGGGGGGGGGGGGGGGGGCGTTAAACGCCCCCAGCCGATAACTCGAGAACCAATAGGCGCAGCGAAACGCACGGGGCGGCAAACGAAAGAACGCGACGAGACGCTTCAGATGAGTACTTTAAAGTTGAATTTCGAGGTCACAGGTTAGGTCAAGAACAGGTCAAACACCTGAAATCGGGCTTTCAGTAGCATGGACTTCAGGACTTCGCAATGGGCGTCTCTCGTCATAAACTCTGTCAAAACGGTGCACAATCCATCATATAAGGCCTACAAGAGTGTCAGCTCCATGCAGGGGTCAGTCAAGTATAGGTCAGGGTCAAGGTCAGGTCAACCGGGCAGGCACATATCCCCGAAAATAAAAACTGATATACGCAGCCTGTGACACATGTTTAATGGGTAATTTGGGGCGTAGAACACGATGGTGACATTCATTTTATCATATGTGTACGTGTTTGGCTAAAAAAGTTCAATTTAAGAAATTAATGTATCATGGTCGTGAAGTAGTCACGAGAAATTGCCAAGATTCAGTTCAAGATTTTGGAAAATGCGGATCCATAATCAATAATCGAAGATAGCCATTTGATTGTTCATGGTATTGGCAGTCTAATGGCGTTTATGGCATGTCTATATGTCTATTCTGTGATTTTATATGATTTTTTGAACATATGCCGTTTTTGGTCGAAAACTCAGAAATCATGACGTCACTAAAACCGATATCTCAAAAATTTTCCGACCGATTTTTTTGAAACTTTGTCACAATAAACTTCAATCAATTCCCTAAAGGTACCCAAAATTTGGCGCGCCTGCGGCGCGCCGTTTTTATGCTATGGCCCGGCGAAAAAAGTGGGGGCGTTTAACGCCCCCCCCCCAGCAACTCGCGGCTTAATATATAAAATCACATGCGCGCAGTCATGATTCAATGGTCAGTGGTCACAAACGTACGATAAAGTGAAATCTTGGGCTTGCAACAATATCATCAATTATACAATTGTGCAGCTACGGCAGTGTAAAACAAAATTTGTCATGGCACAGACTAAATATTCCATGAGCGATATTACCATAACGTCACGTTCTTGAAACGATCCCATGCGTCACAATTTCTGTGACGTCACATTTGCGTCACAGTGTCCTGTTCGAGCTCGAGCGCCGAGTTGTCTGCGCCCTGGCGTTCGTCGCTTACACCAGGGTGCATTTCTCCGTCCTCCTCCGAGCCGCAGTAGCACTGGAGCCAGCGCTGCTCCTTCCCAAACTCCTCTCCTTCAGCCAGTGTGTCAGGCAGCGGCAGGCCGCGGGTCTCGGGAAGCAGGCTGACACTGACGGCCCCGAGCAGCGCCAGGGCGGCCAGCACGAGCTGCGGCAGGCCGCGCCACACCCGCTCCAGGAATAGAATCAATGGACTGAGCACCGAGCCGGCGTGACCGGCCACCTGGGTCAGAGAGAACGCCCGCGAGCGCACGTCGGTCGGAATCAACTCCATGCTGAGCGTCATCAGCACGTTGACGGAGACGGTGGTGCAGAAGCGACAGAAGACGGCCACGGCGGTGGAGGCGGCCGCCGGCGCGGTGCCCAGGTGCAGCAGGATGGCCAGTGCCAGGCCGGCGCCGCTGGTCAGCGCTGTGCTGACCGTGATGGTCCAGCGGCGGCCCAGCGTGTCGACCAGCAGCCAGGTGAGCAGGTCGGCCGGCGCCTCGCTCACCGCCAGCAGCGTCTGTGCAGTGAAGATGTCCACGTCGAAGTCGGTGTTACGGGAGGTGAGGTCGAACAGCAGCAGGAGGATGGCCGTGCTGAACATGAGCACCGCCATGCGCGTGCGGAGGCGCGGGTGTCGAGCCAGCTGGCGCAGACCGGGAGCCGGGCGCTCCTGCTCCTGCTTGTATTTGAACGTGGCGGCCTCGGTGAACTGCTGCCACGTCTCCTCCGAGACGATACGTCCATTCTCCTTGGCGATCCGCCTCATCTCAGCGATAGCGCGGTCCAACTGGCCGGTCTGCTGCAGCCAGCGGCACGACTCAGGTACTCCGGTCACCAGATAGATGAGAGGAAACGCCATCGGGATGCTGGTGGCCAGCGCGACGTACTGCCAGTGGCCGGCGCCCCAGGCGATCCACGGCAGGATCGTCATGCCCAGGCAGAACGAGGTGGCCAGCGGCAGGTTCACCACCATACCGCGCCATCTCACGCCGACAAACTCGCTGAGAAACACCATCGCCAGCGTAGTCTGCAAGTTGTTGGCCATGCCGAAGGTGAAACGCGTCACAGCGAACACGCCCAGGCTGCGCGCGAAGGCGGACACGACGCCGGCGACGCAGGCTGTGAGGTTGGCGGCGACCAGCGCCGGCAGTCGGCCGAAGCGGTCCGAGACGGCGCCGAACAGTAGCGTGCCGAAGATGGAGCCCACGAAGAACAGTGCCGTGCTCAGCGGCGATTTCCAGGCGTCGTCGCAGACCCAGTCGAGGTCAGAGACGATCGTGGGGTAGAGCTCGCTGAAGTCGTAGTGCCAGCCGCTGCTGCAGGCCGTGAGCGGCGTGTCGGCGTCCGGCCTCCAGCCGGCCACGTCTGCGATCTGGCTGAAGTTGACGTCGTACCTCTGGCAGCGGGAGAACTGCTGGCGGCCGGCGCGCTCCTCGGTCGGTATGCTGATGTTGCGGGCGTCCAGCGGACTGAAGCCCAGCGCCTCCAGCTCAGGAACTTTGCACCAGTGGTCGGGTTCCAGCAGCAGCCACAGCTGGCTCAGCAGCGTGAAGCCGAGAAACATGAACGGCGGCTGCATCAGCACCAAGATGCGCCACTGGAAGCGGCCGTAGCCTCCCACCTCCTCCAGGATCTCGTCAAAGTCGCCCTCGAGCCTCCTCCCTGTCCCGGGCGCTCCTCCGCCGGCTCCGTTAGTAACATCGTTCGGCGTTGGCTCCGATATCGACGAACTCTGCACAGCTCTCGGAAGGAATTCTCGCGAGGCCTGTCTCTTCACGCTCTGTCGCCGAACGGAGGACTTTTGTGAACCTCGTCTAGACCCCTGGGTAGCCGACGGTGAGGCACTGCCATTTTTGCCTTCCTCTTCGTGCGGCATCTTGAAGCAGCTTCACACAATTCGGACAGAGTATGTCTCAAGCCAAGTCACCGACTTCCGTTTGTACTTTTAGATAAACTCACAGCCTCACACACACGTTAAATCTTCATCTCTTGAAATTGCCCCGTACTCCAGCAAACAGTGAACACAACCGCTCCAAAGGCAGCAGGGCAACTATTTAAAACCCGCTTATGATCCTGAGTATCCTCCACACCGGTCGAGCAGGTTTCTCGCCGGGCGGTCCGTCTCGGACCGACGCCAGCACGCCAGTGACGGTCGGCCCGACCCTGAGGTGACCCGCCGAGCCAGCGCCGGCGTCACTGGACGGCCCTGAAGCTCTCCGCGACTCTGCCCGACTCGCCCCGCCCCTCTCTCGGCGCCGCCGTCTCTCCGCACGCACACGGTCACAGGTGGCTCGGGGAGACCCCGCGTAGTGATAGAACTGTGACGTCAGGGACGGGGATGCTATTCACAGTGTGCTGATGAGTCAGCGAAACGAGCTGAATTTCTTTGGATTCGGACTATTCGGTGCATCGGGTGTTCCATTTGACGTCGACATTGCATGTCATCTGACCGTGTTAGAAATTAAGGATCAATAAGGGATACCTTTCTTGGATAACTATTATGGGTAGCACTAGCTATGACTCGCAATTAATTATCTCACTGATGTTGATTATTGATTAGAGCTTGGTGTCCACACCCCGACGGTAGGTAATCTTTGTAGTTTCCATATGGGTCACCTGAAGTCAAGTCGGTCCTGTGACCTGCATATTAGGTATGACTTAATGGGCAAAACACGGAAACTGCTTATCTAGCGCCACTAGTAATCTTATCCCATCTCAGGCACTTTGAATAATAATACCTAATGAGGTACCTATAAGCGATGGCAAATATAGAAAGTCGTGATACCGATACCAAACCAAATACCAACAGGAACCGTGGGAAAATACTTGAAACGAAGCGACTTGGGAATATCAGGGAAATACCAACTTTTTACCAAATTTATAGCCTATTTTACATTACCGAGGATTCACAATACCAACGAAATACCAAATGTGTTAGCCTCGAAACACCAAATTCCAAGTTGGTATCGGTATGGTATCGGTACGTATACCAAAATGTTGGTATTCGATTAACATCGCTAGTACCTATCCTGGTTGCAAGATTCAACGCTGAACTACTACAGTTCGGTCCTATTATTATTATTGCAGTTCGACCTATCTGGGCAGCCATATTGGGCCTATATGGGACTCATATGGTGAAATTCATAGATAAAAAGGTCAAATGTACAAGTCATTAGATGAATATAACTATTGAAGACCGATCTAGCTGGGATGCCCACATCGAGCCCATATGGGACCCATATGGTGAAATGGGCAAGTCATTAGCTGAACATAACCATTAAGAACCGACCTATCTGGGATGCCTATGGTGGGTCCACATTGTGCCCACATGGTCAACTGGACAAGTCATTAGCTGATCATACCGGGTCAACTCATCTGGACTGCCCACATCGAGCCAATATGGGATCCGTATGGTGAAATAGGCAAGTCTTCAGCTGCACATAACCAGTAAATTATTCCTGATTTAGCTTCATGGCTGCCAATATCGGGACCATATAAGACATATGTAGTGAAATACACAGGCCATTAGCTTAGCAAAAACGGTGAATCCCTACCGGCCTTTCTGGGCTGCCCACGTCCGGCCCATGTGGTGCACCTATGGTGAGATGGGCAGGCAATTAGTTGAACATAAGCACTGAGGAGCGACCTATCTGGGCTGCCCATGTCGGGCTCATGTGGTGCCCATATGGTGAAACGGACAAGGCATTAGCTGAACATAGCCGCTGAGGAGCGACCTATCTGGGGTCGGGCCCATGTGGTGCCCATATGGTGAAACGGACAAGGCATTAGCTGAACATAGCCGCTGAGGAGCGACTTATCTGGGGTCGGGCCCATGTGGTGCCCATGTGGTGAAACGGACAAGGCATTAGCCGAACATAACCACTCAGGATGACCTATCTGGGCTGCCCACGTTGGGCCCATGTGGTGCCCATATGGTGAAAGGGACAAGGCATTAGCTGAACATAACCACTGAGGAGCGACCTACCTGGGCTGCCCAATTGTCAAAATTTCCGATTTTGTCTTACAACTTTTTTATCACCATTATTTATCCGTCATCGATACACGGTTAACAATTACTAAGTTGACATTTGTACGTCAACTGAACAATTATGCCGATGAGCTCACCAGGAAAGGTCAAAGCGCATTTTCATTGTTGATTTGTGTTGTTTCAAAAAACACGTCTCGTATAGGTATTTGGGAACAGTTTCGAGAAAATGCAAAGAAAATGCGCGGTTGCGGTACGATAATTGCTTTGCCGGGAACATTTCTTTGAGGTGCATGTTGATTGCGCTCTTTATAGCCCTGAACTGCTTTAGAACTCCAACTGCTGCAGACCGCTGCTCCAGAGCGGTTCTTTGGGAGCGGGCTGGATGCGACATTTCGAGTGGGGAGACGTCACTACGGACTTCGAAACTTCCAAGTGGCTTTATTAAGCGGAGTGCATGTATTTATTAAGCGGATTTATTAACTATGGGGTTCTATGGAGAAAATCCGTGAACAGCTCAAGCGGCCACAATAAGCGGCTGAATTTATTATCCGAGGATTTATTAAGCGGATTCTACTGTACCTATTTGTTATTCTTTGTGACTCTTTGTGCAGGCATTTGTTAAGATGCATCGACTGAGGATGATAATTTTCCGCAATGGCTGAAACAGGCAGCTAAGCAGTTGTTCTGTATTTGTTACACGATCGTATTAGCGCATAGCTTCAGTTAGTTGTCACCGGTCGAACAACTCTGCTCTCCTTAATTAGCACACGTCAACACCGGCGCCCCACCCCGACGAGCGAGGGGGACCGGCAACCACCGGACCGGACCACACACGGCCGCATCACGAAACATTGCAACAAACATTAGTCAGAATTGGCTCACACTTTACACGGGGGTCGCCCTCAGTCCCCCACTCCGGGCCCGACCCTGCCATCCCCTCTCTATGTTCGCATACTCTTCATGTCCGCTGACCTCCCATCCTTTCTCATATGTTCAATCCCATACAGCTGCATATTAAGTTACGCTCACAACACACTCTCTGGCATGCACAATAATGTGGCGCTCAATCTCTGCGGCCTCGCCGGTAAATATAACAGTGAAGAGAGGAGACAATGCGCAGGACGGTATGTACTGAGTCAAATCTACAACACACGCTCACCACCTCCCGCATCACGAACGATTTGTTTGTTTGTTTGTTTTGTTGGGTTAGGCCCTTTCGGTCCAATTAGACCATTTCAGAGCCGGGAGGATGATAGGATATAGGGGGAGACATTGGTCTGGGCAGGCACCCTAGTGAGTCGCCGGGGCTAAGCCCGTCCAGAGGACAGGCCACCCAGCCCCAAGGCACTCACTGCACCCGGCTACGGGGTGCTCTCCCTCGGGAGCAGCGGTGCCGCTCCAAGGGAGCAGCCCGCATGAGATAAAGTTGCCTGTCCAGCCCGGAAAGGGGTTGCGGCGTGGAGGAGAAGGATTTCAGTATCCTGAGGATAGAAGCACGGAACGGTGATCACGAACGACAAAATATACATATATCCTCGGTATTCTCTTCGATAAACGGGACACGGGCTAGCTATCGGCATTACCGCTCGCGCTAGACACAGACCACCGAGCCATCTTCTGGCCGGCGGCGGATGTTGAAGTACCGTATTTGTTCGGCAGATGGTGCTGGCAGTTAGAGCTGGACCTGGGAGCCTCTCCACGACATCTGGCCGCCGTAGCCGCCGTAGATGGAGCCGTAGAACTCGGAGCCCATGCCGAGCTTGTTGGAACCAGGCGAGTAGCCGGACTGTGAGGGAAAAGGGACAGCGTTTAGTCAGCGACACGCGTTGGCTCCATACCTATGTCCAGTTTGATCGAGAACGAGAGCGAAACCGTGGAACTTCGATGCCCCCATTCAATAATACTACAATGTCTACACCGCTCCGTGCTTCTATCCTCAGGATACTGAAATCCTTCTCCTCCACGCCGCAACCCCCCTCCGGGCTGGACAGTGGACAGGCAACTTTATCTCATGCGGGCTGCTCCCTTGGAGCGGCACCGCTGCTCCCGAGGGAGCGCACCCCGTAGCCGGGTGCAGAGAGTGCTTGGGGGGCTGGTCGGCCTGTCAACTCGGACGGGCTCAGCCCCGGCGACTCTCTAGGGTGTCTGCCCAGACCAATGTCTCCCCCTAATTCCTATCATCCTTCCGGCTCTGAAATGGTCTTGTCAGACCGAAAGGGCCTAACCCAACAAAACAAAACAAAAAAATGTCTACAGTCGAAATAAGGTCCACATCTATCTCTATCCTCCACTGAAGTAAGACAGCCACCCTCTCGTCCCGGCGACTCACGTGCACGTATCGGTTGAGCTCCTCCTGTGTGTCGAAGATGGCCACGTTGAAGGGGCTGCCAGGCACGTTGTCACCCGACCACTTGACCTCTATCCTGTAGTCGCCCGGCTCGGTGGGGTCGTACTTGCAGAGTATGATGCGGTCTTTCTGAGACTCACGCTGCATCTCCACACGGAACGCCGCTGGTGGGGAAGAGAGCGGGGCGTTAGTGCAATAGATAATGGAGAGCAAGCACGTGGGTCAAACGCCACATAATACAGCTAAAAATACAGTATGTCCAGCGGGAATGTCGGACCCTAATTCGCAATGCACGTATGAACGATTTCGGTCAAAATATTTCCAACCTGCCCTTTCCACTCATGTCACCTATATGGTCTTCTGCCCTTTCGTTTCATTCCACCGAATCCTTCGCTACCTTCACCTCTTCTTTCTTCTCATTTCCACCTCTCTACCTATCTTCTCCATTACCCTCTCCACTCTCTCCTCCCCCAAGCTCTCACCTTTCGGTCCCCGGATGCGAACGGTCAGCTGGCCGGCGCCAGCTCCTCGCGTGTCACACATGAACCGTGACTGGTACAGAGACAGGACACCCGGCTCGACACCAGGTCCGTACACCCGCACCTTACTGGCGTCCGGCGGGCCGGCGATCCGCAGCGAGAACGGACTGCCCGGCACGTGCTCCCCTGAGGGGGAGAGGGGGTTAGATGGATGAGAGGGGATGTAAGGCGACCTCTGGCTTTGTTAAAATGAGGCATTGAAGAAACAATACAAGTTCTGGTTTTATATGCGTATACGACTAGACAATGCCGTGGCCACCGTTTTATGTCAGAAGTGCAAGGTACTTCATTTATGTCGAGGATAAAAAGAAGCAATCATACTACATTCCAGAAAATTATCCTAAACGGTATTGGGGCTAATCTAACCATAGTTATTGCTAACCCATTTATCTACCGATAGCAACGATCGGGCATCATCAATTGCACTTTCAAGAATAGGACCACGCCCCACTTCCCAGCTCCGCGCCTCGGCCGCGCTCGGTTACCGCCGTATTTGATGATGAGCTGATGACGTCCCGGCTCCTGTGGCTTCACGTTGAGGCTGAACGTGCCGTCCTGGTGGTCGTACAGCTCCGAGAAGGCCGTCTTGTGCGGACCGACGCAGTGAGCGGACAGCTCGCCGGGACCGGCGCGGCGCGTGTCGATGAAGGATTTGATCTCGTGACCGACCACACCGCCCCGCAGACCGTCTCCCTTGCAGACGACCCGACTGGCGTCCGCCACGGCCGCCACCGTCACCTTCAGAGGACAGCCCTTGATCTGTCTGTGAGACCGGGGAGGAAGACGTTAACTAGATATAATGGGAGCTTAGCGGCCACGTAGAGAAAGGCTGAGGATTAAACAAGCGATGCTAAGCGCCCAACAAGGTTAACGTTCGCACATGAGACGACTCTTCGATGTAAGGAAAATTAACCTATCATCTCAGTCGACCCTATTCGTTAACCCTCGCACGACCAGGCCATTTCTCATAACACGAACGACCAGGGGGGGGTTGTTACGACCCCCCCCCCCCTGGCGTTTCGAAACGGAAGGTCGTAGAGCTTAGCGGAAAAAACCAACGGATTGCTCTCAACGAGATCTCGCGATTGGTGGTATATTTTTTGGTCCTAGGTCAACATTTGACCTACTTATGACCGGTCAAAGGTCAAATTTTCCGAAAAAATCAAACTTTTTCAACTTTCCGCGGCGATTGCGGCAAAACGGCGGGAGATATCGACTTGAAACCTTCACTATCGTGTTCCTTGATCAATTCTCTATCGTTTGGTTTGTGTTTCGTTTCCCTAGCTCTAAAAATGGCGCGTTGGGAGCGCCGGAAGTCGGCAAGGTCACAGTCGGCGGCAGAAATTCGAAAAATCAAAATTTAAATTTTTGAAATCTGATTGCATTTTTGGATTTGGGAGGTCCATTTGCTCCCTATAGAAGCTAATATTGCTGCATATTCCCATTGAGGTGACAAGAATTAGCAAAATAGTGGTTCGGGCGCTTTTCAAAAATAGTACCGGACGCTGTTCCTCTTGTGACGTCATAGCTCCGTGACCTGACCTGACCCGGTCAATTTTCTTGCACCACACAATAGCCAATGCTTGCCCCAACATGCATGGGAAGTTTCATCATGATCCATCAAACAATGTGGGTATCACCGGCAGAAAACCTAGGGATTCGGCGCACACGTTTGGTAACTGTCGGCCGGAGGCTGTACCTCTTATGACGTCATAACTCCGTGACCTGACATGACCCGATCAATTTTTTTTCGGCAAAAGATGCGCAAAGGTTGCCCCAGAGGGTATTGAAAATTTCAGCCCGCTACGACAAGCCGTTTAGCGTGCACTTCGAAAAAACCTCAGGGGGGGGGGTTGATACAACCCCCCCCCCCCTAGGCGTTCTAGGGTTAAAGGACGACCACCCCACCGATTCTCGTCCAGCCGACCCTCCCACTGACCAACCCGCCTCCTATCTGCCGCACTAAGCACCTCCCCGCCACCACAATGTCCGCCTTACCTGCCGGACCAGGCGACGTTCAGCAGGTAGGCCCCGGCCACGGACGGGGTGTATGCGGCCCGGTACACGTTGTTACCGCTCGGGTGCAGGTGAACGTTAATGTCGGCCTTTACACCGCTCATCGTGACCTCGGGAGAGCCTAAACAAGGGGGAGGGTGGTTAGAACAGAATAAAATGGGCTTCATTCTTTTCAGATTTATGATTAACTAGCATGAAAATATGTTGCTAGAAGACTCAAGACATCATTCTATCGACATGCATACATGAACAATATCTGACAAACTATAAAACTCGGTTGATATGATAACATATAAAACGAAAATATATTTGTTAAACACTTATTCAAGAAACCTATCAGTCAAAAGTTTCTTATTGTCATATTCAACCCGTCTTCTAATTACGACTGATTGTGGTCTGGCTTATAGTTAGTGACCGGGAACGGCATCCTATGATGGCCCGACTGTGCCCTAACCTGGTCCGGCCTGCGACCCGTCGATGGTGAACTCGGCCTCCTCGCCACAGCGGGCGCTGGCCAGGCCGTGGCCGCGCAGAACCACTCGCGAACTGTCAGAGGACGAGCTCATCGTGTCCGCGAACGCTGAGAACGGAAAACAGAGACGAAATTTATAAACACGATAAAAAATTGTACAAAAAAAGGAAACGGAGTCAGTGATCACGGCACAATAGGCGCAATCGCTGCAAATACAGGAGCACAGTCAATTAACACGGTACAGAAAGATACCATCGCTGGAAATGCTTTTAAGAACAGGATACAGAGAGATACAACCGCCCCATACCCCAGCGATTAGCGAACGAATCCTATTGAATACGACTTATGAAAACGCGACATCATTTCAAATTCCGCGAAGTGGCAATTTGATAACAGGCACCACACTTCCTTATTCCCTAAATGAACATCATATCGCTCTCCGTACCGAGGAAGGGTGATCCGGGCAGCGGCAGGTCGTTCCAGTAGAGGTACAGCAAGTGCTCGCCGGCCTCCTGGGGTACAAACGACACCCTGGAGCGGGACGCCGACGGGTGGTCCACGCGACACGGGATGGTGGCGTTACTGCCGCTGCGCACCTCGCCACGCAGCTTCCCTATGGGTGGAAGGGGGGGGGGGAAGGGGTTAGAGCGTGGGTGGCATTCGGGTGAACGGTGTGATAATGCTGTGCGAATGCGAATGATGAGCTGCTCAGAGCGCTGTAGGGGTTCTGACTGGGACGGATTGGACAAAAAGCCAATCAAGGAAGCATTGAGTAACGTGGAACCTTGAAACTACAGTCACCTGTGTAATTCCACCGTCCAAGAAGTACCTACTTGACACATGAACATAGTTACAGCTACTTGAAAAAGCAAGATAAAATAAATAATGCCAGTCAGGGCTAATAAAGCTACCGATGCTGAAAAGAATCCATAATTGCGCTACCCTGGATTACATACCGGGTCCTGCCTCTGCCACATCGAACACGAGCTTCTTCTCCTCGGCAACAGAGAGCTCCAGTCGTCCCTCGCGGTCCTGCTGACTCTCCCATCCACCGATCACCCGCACCTAAGGGACAACTATGGGTCACAGACTGGCCACTCAAGTCCCTACGGCTTTTTCCGCTGTTGAATGATAGGTGGGTATATGTTTATTGCCATCATGTTAGCGGTCGGGCTGTACTTGAAAAATAAGCACGATATTTTTTCAACATTACCGGTGTATAAATGTAAAGCAAGCTTTATTACTAAAGAAAAGCCCAAGACTAAAATTAGTAGCCACGCATACAAATCATCTGAGGCCTCTTGCACCAAACTACCTAGCTAGGTAAAATCGAAAAACCGGTTTCAGAATAAGCTAATCAAACGGTGGTAAATTTGTTTGCAATAGCCCAATACATAATTCTACAGGTGCTTGGTAAATTTTACACGCAAATTGTCACATTAGAGTCTTGGATTGGGTATACGATGCAAAATAATCCAAGCATTGGTGCAAGAGGATTTTGGTGCAAGAGGCCTCTGATCATAAAGTCATGTTAAAAAGGGCCCAGACTGGTCGAAATTTACACACAGACAAACTCTCCCGTCCAGTTACTCTATCCTCCCTCTCACCTTTCTGGGGTCGACGATTTTGGGGTGGAATGGCGAGCCGGGCACCTCCCTGCCGTTCCAGAGGACGCGCACGTCAAACAGGCCGACTTCTCGCGGTGTGTAGGTGACCAGGTATCGGCCGGGCGACTCCTCCTCGACACTAGTCTTGGCCACGCTGTCCGGGCCGTCGACCTGAACCTGGAGATGGGAGGGGGGAGGGGGGGGGGGGTCAGCAAGGGTCGTAGGAGGGTGGGTAAAGTGAAGGTCGAGGACTCGAGATCATGCACATTCATACATCATTTGGCGGCATTCAAGTGATCACATGAGATCTTAGCACACATTTTACCTCAATTAGTAAACGAATAGCCACAGTGCCCTTCAAGGGCGAATGAAAAATAACCACCAAGGATACAAACACCAAACAATAACACCAATTTCCCGAACAGCTCCCATTGTGCTATGATCCACGCCCCGGCGGATTTGGTCCTCCCCGACCCAAAACAGTAGGTATAGTTACCTGCGGTTCTCCCATGAGCCCCACTGCGTCCAGTTTGAATGTGACCGGCTGGCCGAGCTGTCCGGCCGTCAGACCGTCTCCAGTGGCACGTGCCATGCCCTCCTCCTCAACGACAAACGTCAGCGGAGAGCCTGTGAGAGAGGGGCGGTATGGTGAGCTAAGCGTGCCAATGGAAACGGTCAGTTTATATGAATGACATAAATAAGCAGGAAACATTTGGCTCCGTTGTGGATAGTTTGCTGTCAGGACGACTTGAAGTTAAACCAACGACAAAATTAGGCTTTTTTAGGATGAATTCGCCTTTGGAAACACGCATTGTTGCACATGATTGAATCTTCAAAACAATATTACCGATTCCACACAACGTTCTTTGCATCATCAAAACTACAATGTCTAGGCATATGACCGTACTCTCGCACCTATATGTGACCATCACTACCCCTGTGACCCTTCCATCGTCCCTACCTGGCACCTCCTCCCCGCCGTAGGTGATGGCCAGTTTGTAGCGTCCCGGCACGGTGGGCAGGAACTCGATCACCTCGCCGTCCTCGTTGGTGGCCGTCACGTCGATCGGCAGGTTCTTCCCCAGAGGCGACGTCACCGTCACGTCCAGCTCGGCCAGACCGGCGTTCTGGCGACTCACTAGAGGGGAGAGATGAGGGTTTTAAGACAGGGAGTAGTGTGAACGGTCGTTCAGACGACTCACTGAAGGGGTGAGGGGAAGGGAGGGATAGAGCGTTATAAGAGAGTAGTGTGATAGGTCGTATAGCTCGGCCAGACCGGCGTTCTGGCGACTCACTGAAGGGGGAGATGAGGGTAACAAGGAGGATTAGAGAGAGAGAGGAAAGAGGGCTTGCTTAGAGGGCTACGAGTGAGAGAGCAGCTAACAGGTCGCTCTGATAACACAAGGAGTACGATCACATCTCGCTCAGTCATAACTTTACGGCAATTTAGGGAGGAGATTAGTGTATTGAATCAGATGTTAGAACATATGCACTGTGCTCCGCTTATGAGTCACTTGTTGGCGCAAATAATCAGCGTCACATCCATGCCTTTCCGCGTGATTATATTTGACTCACACTACAAAGCATACTTTTTAGTCCGAGGGCGGACGATGAACAAACAGATGATGTAAGACTCATGCTGCACGCCCAGTGAAAAGTCCGTGTGTTCCCGAATGGATACATGTTCAGCGATTACTCACGATTGACGGCGATTTTCTCGTTGATGCTGAACTGCTTGATCTTGAGCTCGTCAATGACTACCTTGGAGGCGTCGTAGGTCTGGCAGGTGAAGGGGGAGCCGCGGATGGCCTTCATGTCGTGCAGGACCTCCACCGTGTACGGACCTGAGCAGAGAGCGCGGTCAGCGGCCAGAAAGCACGAGGGCAAGCGGTGACGATCAGCGACACCAGGGGAAGATAGAGTCAATGAGAAATGCTTCCATAGGATAGCAATCCCATATAATTGTTTTAGAAATGGACGACAAATGATTTGCACGTATGAGTAAACGACAGTAAACAAACTAATTGCAACTCGTATAGATAAATCGTTTGTAAAATGTCGCACACGTTACCCTCCAACATTCCCAATTTCCACGGAAACTTACCAGCCACTCCGGGGACGAACTCGACGAGCATGTTTCCGTCCTTCTGCTGGTAGCACTTGACGGGCACCGCCGATCCGGTGGGTGAGGTCACCACCACATCAAACTCCTTGCCGGCGTGGCCGAGCGTCTCCAGGACGAACGAGGTGGGCTTGTTGGCGCGCGACTGGTGCAGGCCCAGGCCCGAGGCGGTGATGGATTTGCCTTGCGCCGGGTTCCGGACGTCCATCTCGACCGGACAGCCTGAGAGCCACGGCAGGGAGAAGTGAAAGTCGCCGCAGAACAGGGACATGGTGGGAGCGGCAGAGAGTTCTATGCCATCCTATCAGGTAACACCGATAGCACTCTCAGTCGCGATAGTCGCAGACATACGCAAATCACTGGGTGTTTCGGTCTAGCCGCATATGCAGTCACTGCCACTGCTTCGAACACAGCTCGCTGCGGCCATAGCCATCAGCGCTATCACAGCCCACAAGAACAATCCGCACTGTCTGTCTCCCTACCGAACACTGGTCACAACCCGACGACAGAAAGGAGCGGCGGTGAAACGCGTCAAACGAATAGCAGGAACGTCGTGGCCACATTGTGTGTTATCGGAACAGGCTATTTCCCCTTTCAGTAACTTGAATTCGCCCTCTTTTACGTGATATAAGCGGATCTACACCGAAATGTGCACTTCCCCTGGGCATCAGATCAGTGATCACTAACGGCTCAATTTCCTCAATCAAAGCAGAGGTCAATGGTGATTCATATCGAATTTACGAACTAACACTAGTACGATCAATCGCCTTTGTAATATGCACAGTAGGTACACAATAAAGCCGTTTCAGACATCTACATTGGTTGATAAGATGTCTAAAGTTGTTCGGGTCGCTTAACTCACCGGTAACAGGCACGCTGTTGTACTTGACATCGACCTTGTGTGGAATGGCCACCTTTGGTGTGAAGATGACCTCGTACTGACCCGAGCCGATGTCACGGATCGAGTGTTTGACCTCTTGACCTGCGGCCCGCACCGATACCGACAGGGTGCCGCGACCCGCCTGGGACGCGTCCACTGAAACGGCGGCAGAAACAGAGCGTTAGATTGGTGATGGACGGGGAATGATGTAGTCTCGTAGAAGTGAATGCAGTCTGGGTGCAGAATGGATGTAGATTTGTATAATGAAATCACCACTCGGGTATACTTTTTTCTTGACAGTGGTTCGTGAAGCGACCGTCGAATGAGACTACTGTGGCTATAAAAAAGAGTACGCCCGATTTCACAGCGGCACGTGTTTATGCTACGTGCTTTTTTTGTAATAATGAAAACAAATAAACCAGTAAAATCTCACGAACATCTTCACTCCCGTACCTTTGAGGACGGCCTCCCTGCCGACGGCGGGCTGCTCGCCGGGCCTCAGCCGCACCCGGTTCGGGTCGGCCACCTCGACCACGAACGGCTGCTTGCTGATGGTCTGACCGCCGTGGTAGACGGACACCGTGTAGCCGCCGACCTCGGCGGCCCGGTACTCGGCACGGTATAGACCCGACTTGAGACGGGTCAGACGGGACGGTACCTCGCTGCCGTGTGGACCTGGGAGGCGAGGGGGCAGTAAGTGTTAGATGAGAGCTAATGTATTTAACTGAGAGACGATAAAGAGCGTCGTATAATATCGATCCTCTATCACCTAGAAGTCCTGTGAACGCTGGAAGAATAGCTTCAAGTTATACATAATCATATTCAAAATATTTATCCCAATTCATAAAAATGTCATGCTTGATAGAGGCTAGACATTCAAAATAATTGAAGGAACTCTCCGGAAAAAGGAACTCTAGCACTTCATCACAAAATTAAGCGAGAAGATAATTATGTTATAGCCCCTGGGACAGCTAAACAGATAACGTAGCACAGCCAAGAAACGTACCGATGATTTTGACCTCGACCTCGCCCTCCATGCCCTTGGCGTCGACGTCGAAGGTGGCCCAGCTGCCGCTGACCACCTGTTTGAGGCCGTCCCCTCGGGCTGTCACCATCTTACTCTCCTTACGCTGAATGTGACGCATCTCGCGGGCGTCTAGCTCACGAACGTCGCACTTGAACGGACTCCCTGGGGGAAGGGGGGAGGGGTGATGGCAGATATCAGTAGGGGAGGTGGTAATAATTGTGATGTGGTGATGTGATCGCGATCCATCGCTATAACCACCATCTGATGTTGATGTCAAGGTTTTAGCGAGGTGAAGAAAGCCTGGTAGTTGCCTCATAGCCATCTCATTATCACGCACCATCAACTGCTGGTGCAGTAGTACGATGCATGTTGCGTAGCGCATAGCTACAGAACGATAATAGGCAAAACTGGAAAACCCACACTAATGACTCTATATAACCATATTTACCTCATCGTCGCATTTACTTCCGCAATATGACATCAGAAACTGATGCATCCATATGTCGTTAAGAAATCCACCGAGACACTTTCGCCTTTCGACACTTCTCGTAGAATTTGACTCGCAGTTACGTTATGAATTGAGAATGTTTAATGTTCATGTTTATCTTACCCGGCACATCCTCCTCGTTGAAGGTGACGTTGACAAAGTGCGGGATGGCCTCCTGGGCCACGAAGGTGACGTCATACAGTCCTCGGCTGCGAGCGGCCACCTGGAACAGAAATCCAACCGTTAATGATGCGATCGCAGGGCGTCTACCGTTCAATCGGTCGATACCTTGCGCGAACTTGTGTCACATCAAATGCAGCATTAGAGTTCTTAAATTATTAGTTTATTCGACAGGCAATGAGGCCTCCTGGAAGTTCAGAAACCTACATATCAAGAGACGTTGTTATGTTTTGTTTTATGTAAAACAAATGCCCGATCATCAATTTTTTTTCCACAACGACATCTTTGCGACCCAACGTTGCTTACCTCGGCTCTCACTGTAGCTTTGCCGGTAGTGACCACCAGCTCGAGTGTGCCCTCTCCGGCGTGGGAGGCGTCCACGGTAAATGTGACGGGACGCCCAACCTGCAAAATGACAGGAAGGTTAGCTGTGTTTTAGGTACCCTCGCTGGTATGGGAGGGACACAGAGGACCTGAGGGGAGGGGAGCGGTCATCAGTGGTCACCGGCATCAGAGGGAGCCGATCTAAGGGATCGCCATCCGTGTCAACATCATGCATGATGCGCAATCTCCACTGACCACTCGGGTGTGAAGGCCACCGTGCAGTGATTAGCAAGACAAGAAAATGCAGATGTTGCGTACCGAATCAACCCGGAGATCACAGACATTGCAAGAAGTTCCCCGCGAGAATAGCTAAAATGCTTTCATGATGCCTAAGATTATGCAATATTCTCCCTCGCCTCCCAACACATGTGCTCTCCCCTTGTCCTCTCTCTCCCTCTCTCTCTCTCTCTCACTCTCTCTCTCCTCTCTCTCTCTCTCTCTCTCTCTCTCTCTCTCTCTCCCTCTCCCTCCCTCCCTCCCTCCCTCCCTCCCTCCCTATCTCTCTCTCTTTCTCTCTTTCTCTCTCTCTCTCCCTCTCTCCCTCCCTCCCTCCCTCCCTCCCTCCCTCCCTCCCTCCCTCCCTCTCTCTGCCCCCCTCCCTCCCTTCGTCCCTCCCTCCCTCCCTCCTCTCTCTCTCTCTCTCTCTCTCTCTCTCTCTCTCTCTCTCTCCCATCTCCCTCTCCCTCCTCTCACCTTGGTGTTCTCGAGACCAGTGACCACCACTCTTCCGACGTCGTAGATGTTACAGGTGAACGGTGACCCGCCCACCGGTTCTCCGTCCATCACCACGCTGACCGTGTGCGGCCCCACCTCCGTCGGCTGGAACTCGGCGCTGTACCGGCCGCTGGCGCCCTGCTGCACGCGCACCGGCACAGACTGACCCGACGGTGACGTCACTGAGGGGAAAGAACAGAATACGGTGGTGATGTCAGTGGGGTAGAACAGAATACGGCGGTGACGTCAGTGGGGATTAGAGATGTCAATCGGATACCAACTTGATTAGCTCCACCGTGTCATTATCAGCTTGCCTAACAAGGATTCTGGTGTGCCGGGTGATGTGCCTATTAAAATTTTAAAGCTTTGTTTTATGTACATCGGTCGTCACTTGCTGCACATTATCAACACCAGCATAGTAACAGAGTCAGTCCCAAGTAGCTGGAAGTGCGCCATAGTAATTCCTCTCCATAAGAGAGGTGATCCTTCACAGGCATCAAATTTTAGGCCTATCACTAACGTGCCAGCCATATGCAAGATAGTCGAAAAGCTAGTACATCATCAGCTGACCACCTACCTCGATCGCCACTGCCTTTTTAGTCCGGACCAGCATGGTTTTATGGCGCGTCACTCAACCACCACGGCTCTTTTATCGATGACTGAACAAATCTTGCAGAGCATGGATCACTCCCAAATCACGCTACTGGCCTTGGTTGACCTCAGTCGATGTTTTGATGTCGTGGACCACGCGACACTTCTGGATAGTCTGGAACAGCTCCAGATTTCTACAGGCTGGATCAGGAGCTACCTGGCTGGTCATACGCAGCGTGTGCGGATAGGTGACACCCTCTCTGAGCCCCGCCCCATCGAAATTGGCACTTTCCAGGGTACCTGTCTCGGCCCACTCTTGTTCAACGTGGTCAGCAACAGCATCAGCTGCTATATACCCGACAGCATCAACGGCTTTAACACCTTCTCGGCTCGTTATGCTGATGACACACAGATAGCCATATCGGGTCCTCGCAGTAGGCTGCCAGAGCTGAAGCTTGCGTTGGAGAGCCTGCTTGACACGTTGTGTACCTGGTTTTCCCAGAACGGCATGAAAGTCAATGCCAGTAAAACGGAGCTCCTCATGTGCGGCGACCGGCGGCAGCTGATCCAAATTGGAGAGCCGCCTGAAATAGAATTCATGGGCGAACCACTCACCCTATCAAAAACTGTGAAAAACCTCGGTGTTATCATGGATGGCGAATTATCATGGGAGCCACACATCGACAACGTCATAAAACGCTGTTTCGGCATCCTCATCGGACTCACCCACATCAGGCACATAATCCCAAAGTACATCTTGCCGAGGATTGTAGATGCTCTGGTTTTCTCCCATGTGCGGTATTGTGCATCGGTTTACGGTAGTGCAAACCGCACCACTATAGCTAAGCTTCAAAAGGTGGTTAATTTCGCAGCAAGGGTGATCTCGGGTAGAAGGAGGCATGATCACATTTCTGATGTCATCGATGACCTTGCATGGCTGCGTGCGCCCGATATGATCTCGTACTTTGACATTACATTAATTCACGGCATCCTTACGTTCAAGAAGCCTGACGTGCTGCGTTCCTGGCTATCTTATAACCACGAGCACGTGTGCCGAGACACCAGGCAGTCACATTACCTAACTCTGCCCACGTGCCAGGAACAATCATGGAAAAAGGCGCTTCATGTACCGAGCCGCTGATATGTACAACAGAATGGCGATAGCCAACAACCACTCTTCTCTGGCCATGCCTCTTTTCAAAACTAGAGCCCGCGCCTTACTTCACAGCAGACAGCGTGACAACTAGTCGTGAGAGTTGACAGCCGCGGTGGTACCTGTGCGCCTACTTTCACAGCCATGTCGTATTGTGTTTAAGCGTGTTTTTATTTTAATTTGTCGGCTTTTAAACATTTTTAACCATGTGTTGTGATCATGTACAGACGAAGATCGTAGAATAGCCCTTTTAATAGTGGAACGATCGGATGTGGTGCAATAAATAAATAAATAAACTTTTTGGTATACCGATACCAAACCGATACCAACTTGGTATTTGGTATTTTAAGGCCAATGCATTTGGTATTTTGTTGGTAATAGCCGTTTTCACGACGGGCTTTCCGGCGAGTGCACCTGATTTGACCAAATCTGCACCTAATCTCTTTTACAGCAAATATCTTTATTTTATGAATTTATTTCAGTGTTTTAATCGATGATGCTCTCTGATAATATGACAAAGCAGGCATATAAGCAGTTAGTGCAATTCTAGCTGATAGCTACTAAGAGACGCACTGAACCTGATTTGACCAAATCTGCACCTGATCTGCACCAGATGTGCACCAAATGTGTACCAGATGGCCGTCGTGAAAACGGTTATTAAGAATCCTTATTAATGTAGAAGAGGCTGAGCATTTGGTAAAAAGTTGGTATTTTCTTCATATTCCCAAGTCGGTTCGGTATCGATATTTTTCCATGGGTAGGTATTGTTGGTATTTGGTTTGGTGTCGATATTATGATTTTCCGTAATTGACATCACTAGTGGGGATAGAACAGAATACGGCGGTGACGTCACTGGGGTAGAACAGAATACGGCGGTGACTTCAGTGGGGACAGAGCGTAATACGGCGGTGACTTCAGTGGGGATAGAACAAAATACGGCGGTGACGTCACTGGGGATAGAATAGGGCGGTGACGTCAGTGAGGATAGAACAGATACAGCAGTGACGTCGGTGGAGATAGAACATAATACAGCGGCGACGTCACTGAGGGCAGAATAAAGGGATGACGTTGTAGGAGGCAGCGGAGATAACAGGGTAGCAAGGGCAAGGAAGTGGTGCAAAATGCGTCGGGGCCAGAGAAGTAGGGATGATGTCATTGAGGGAGAGTGATACAATGACTGATCGTGAGGCGGGGGTGAAATGAACCTAGGTAATGATCTAGGTACGTAGTAAGACATGGCAGATTACTGAACAACCACAGCAAACACGATTTAAGCTCTCAGCGCCAAACAAGAGAGTCGCATGACGGAAGGCTGGTGAGCTTCAATAACTTGTCACAGGCATACGAGCAAGCGGGGTAGGTGCTCAATTTCTCCAGGTAGTCAAAATGCATTCACCCCTGCAACACGTTTAGTAAATTTCTTAGACGTGCAATGACGTGTATCGAATCTCACATCGAGGCAAGAAAGCATGGCTAATGAGGGAGGCCGCCATCACACGAAATAATGAAAAGCTCAGCTCACTGAACCGTGATATCTAGATGACAGAGTTTACGTCCAACCTGTTCCGAGCCTCATTATGTACTGCTAGCCGCATTGCTTATCGGGTAACCATGCGTGAAAACTGCTTGTCAAGCAAAAAAAAAAAAAATAGACGCAGTTGTGCTTTAAGCGCGTTGAATAGTTAGTGCAAGATCGAGAATCGTCAACTCTCAACCGTCTCATTGAAACAGCTTTAGGACATTATGGATAATAGGTGATGGATGGGAAATTATACATATAATAGGTATTTCGAACAAGAATCTAAGGGCAAAGTTATTCCTTATAGTTTGTATATGCCTCGGTCAAGTGTTTTTTTTTCCGGTGTGCTTTCGTCAATCGTCGAGCTCACGCAGTCAAAACTTGGTGCTACTTTTGTGTGTGAAACTGCAGTCTCCATCTCGCGTTGAGCGTTAGGTTAGTGTTTTGTGCTTTATTAAAGTCACCGTGCTACATGTTTCCAGATACCAAAATTGGTTATACGCGAGTGAGATAGGTAACTAGCAGCTTTCGTGCTAATCTTTATTTTCTATTACGGATTTGATGATTCAGTTAGTGGCAAAGCAATCTCCGCTTTGTCTACAGCAGCCATTCAGCGATGATACCTAACATCGGGACAAGATATGTTCCGTTCCGTGGACAATGTCTTGCTAAGCCGATTTTTTGAAGCGTGACTGGCGGCCCCTGCAGTCTCTGACGGTATTCCCAGTCAATGCCGGGTTGTCAAGCTAGATTGCTGTTTCACAGTGAGAAAAGTGAGAGGGAACGATTGGCCGATAGCAATCACCAACGACCTCTCTATTAGTTATAGTCAATCTACTCAATCGCAAAGGAATGGAGAGTCACTCGATGCAGTCATCCAAATAAATGGAACTGAGTTTTTTAAAAGGCGAGTGGAACATGACTCTGTGCTTAAACTTTTACTAGCTCCTTCATCCCGCTAGCATAATGAAAATAACTACCGAATTAAAGAACGGAGCACAAGGCACTTCCAAACAACCGACACGGATTCTATATGTAAGCCTTTTTTATGTCCCACCGTGCAGTTTTGACTCAAATGTCATAAGCGTCCACAGTAACGCACTTTTCATGTAATCCACCATCATCTTTCAATCCACGAACGGCCACCAATATCCACCACACACGGGGCTCGCAATGAGCCAAACCAACTCACCAGTCTCCCTCGCATCCCCTCTCTCACCACTGCACTACCAGCGCGCGCACCACACCTCACAGCCCCGCAGCACCGCCCGCACTACACCCTCCCGCGGCGCTGTCTGGCCACCTGCCTCCTCTCGGCTGCCCACTGCCTGCGGTGGCGGCGGCCACCTCACTTTCTACAGCGCTCAGCGGCCGGCGCAGTCCGAGTGTATTCGGGCTGACCAGAGCCGACTGCTAGTCATTGGAGCACTTTCACACCACCGCGTCGTGGAGGGGACGAGTGTTATTGATTGAATGAGGGACTATTGAAAGGGGCTGAACCAGTTTCAGCATTCTTGTTTTAGTTGTAATCCGATTGATTCTAAGTTATAAAAAGTATTTTTCAATAGCATTTTCACACAACACTTAGTACCTTATCATATCACATGCATGTACCAAATTAAGTTACGTCATTTACAAGTACACCTAAAGGAAATACTAACATGGATCTCCTATCACTCTACTCCGGTCCGAACGAAACAATCGGATTTCACGTTATTAATTCATTGAGACGTTTTCGCCAATTTTCGCTCCGATTTCATCTATCGACCAGAGGCCTCTTGCACCAAACTACCTACCTAGGTAAATGCAGATTTTACCTAGATTCTCTTGCACCAAACTACCTACCAAAAAACGCTACCGTGAAAATTTACCTAGAAATTCTACCGAGCGGCATAAGAACTTACCAATTGTTAAAGTCC